AATGACAGGGCTGTGGGCAGGAGCTGGGGCCACCAGAGACTCCCCCAGCATCCGCTCCAGATGGGAACTGGGTCGCGGGGAAGGAGAAGGCTGTGGTTACCAGTGCTGACTCAACCCCCGGGGAGATTACACAGGAAAGATGGGGGGAGCACAAATGGGATAGATAAATGTTGTTTGTTGTCATGCCGAGATTTAATGGGGAGGGAGAGGCGGGGAGGGCAGCCCCAGCAGGCGTAGGGTGCACAGGAAGTGGGGAGGATGGGGAGCACTCAGCACTGTGTGGGGCAGCACCAGCTGCTGCAGATGGAGGTGCAGGGGCAGGCGGTGATGTGGGGACAGCTGTAGCCGGGACATCAGCTCTGCATCCAGCACCTGTGGGGGATAATTTTTTTTAGGAAAGCGCAGCATAGGGCAGCAGTTCCCCTCCATCGCGCTGCTTACCTGTGTGCGGGATGTGGGGGCCTCCTGGGGGGGCAGCAGGAAAGGCTCCCCCAGCACTGTGCCCACACGGGATGCGTACTTGTGGTCACCCAGTGCCGGGCACAGCAGCAGTGTCAGGTGCACCTGGAGCTGCTCGGGGAAAGCTGTAGGGAGGGAAGGACGTGGGGTTGGTGGCACTGTGGGGTGGTGGTACCGGGGCAGTGCAGGGGGGGCACTCACCTGTACGAGGCTGCAGCTGGAGCAAAGCGCAGCCCCCTGCTGCTCCCAGCAGGCGGTAGTGGGTCAGGGTGCTCTTCACCTCTCTGCGGGTCACGCTGCGGTGTCCTGGAGGTGGCACTGCCACCACCTGGGGGGGGATGCACAGCTTCAGCACCACCCTCTACCCCCCACTCCTCCCAGATTCCCCCATGTGCCCCTTACCACAGCTGTGTCCCCTTTCTGCTGCCAGCACAGCCCCACACGGATCTCACCCTCTGCCTCTGCTGGGACCCCCACAGTGACAGCGCTGAAGGGACACAATAAGAGGGAAGAGCCTCACACTTTTGGAGAGAGAGATTCATGGGGGGGGCACTCACCTGTAGGTGACTGGAAACTGCCCCCTGCGTCGGGCAGCAGTGAAGGAGTGCTGCAGCTGCTCAGTGACACGGTGGGAGGTGGACAGCAGCACAAGGCCGGAGCATTCCCTATTGGACACGGTATCAATGAGCCTCCCTGGGACCTCCCCATTCCAAATCCCAGACCCATCCCAATACCTGGCAGGTGCTTTCACCACATGCAGCTCTGCAGGCAGCCCCAGGCGTCGGCGTAGTGCAGGCAGCAGCGCAGTCAGGCTCAGCTCCCCAGGGTGCCCTGGGGGTATGAGGGTCAGCACCAGATGTGCCTCCTCTTGGAGAAATCAGCCCCCCCAGCACTCACCCAGCACAGGCAGATCAGTGGGCTTGCTTAGAGCCAGCAGGGCTCCTGTGGGGTGGCAGAAGGATCAGACTCCACTCTTGATCACCCGACACCCACCCGTGTCCAGCCTCCCTCTCCTCCCTTACCTTCCCGATATAAAACTGAGGCCTCCAGTAGCCCCAGCACGGCCTCAGGGCCCAGTGGTCGCCCCCTCCTGCGGGGAGAATGAGATGGGGCACACGTGAGACTCCCCTGCCTCCTCCCACGCTCCATGTCCCCACGCGTGTGCAACTCCACGTGTCCCCCACGCCTCCGAACCTGTTCCCAAGCAGCCCACGACTCCCGTGCACCTACATCAGCGCACCCATTCGTGTCACGCCGTGTCACCTCCGCAGCCCCGTGCACACACAGCAGTGCACACACACAGCAGTGCACACACACAGCAGTGCACACACACAGCAGTGCACACACACAGCAGTGCACACACAGCAGCACTCCACGCTCGCCCCTCCCCCCCCCAGCTCACCTCGCGGAGCGCGCCCCCTGCCCCACGCGCGCCGCCACGCGCGCGGCACTGCCGCAACTCGCCATGGCCGCACTGCGCCTGCGCGGCGGGCGGACCGCAGGGCGTAGCGTCCCGCTTTGACCATAGAGCCGGGCCTCCGGGCGTATAGACCGGCCGCCCTCCTTAGGCCGTTTGGGCTTGAAGCGGCGGTCACAGAGAACCGGAAGTGCGGGTAGAGCGTCTCAGCCCGGTGAGCAGGTGGGGTGCGGCGGGGCGCGGTGCCCGCGGCGAGGTGCGGAGGGCGGGCCCGGGGGCCGTGGCAGGCCGGGGGGTACCGCGCCCTGCGGTGTCCCTGCGGCTGTCGTGGGTGGGTGGTCACGGGAAGGTGGGATGGAGGCCATAGGGGTCCTCCCTGGGGTCCCCTCACTGTGTCCCTGCAGGCAGCTATGGCGTCTCGAGGTGGGCCCCGTGCTGCCGGCACTGATGGCAGCGACTACCGGCATCGGGAGCGCGTGGCTTCGCACTACCAGATGAGGTGGGTGTCACGGAGCCTCTGCTCCCCAAAGCGGTGCTGTGCCCTCATCGGGGCCGTGACAGGGTGATGCCCCTCCAGGCCACGTGCCCATCACGTCCTTGACAAATCCGTGTCGATGCTGGGCCGTGATGGGGCTGTGACCCCACCAGGCTGTGACAGAGCCGTGTCCCAGCTGTGCTGTGACCGTGCTGTGTCCCCACAGCGTGGCCCTGAAGTCAGAGATCAAGAAACTGACCTACGTGCACGTGGGGCTGTGGCTGCTGCTGCTGGCACAGATGTGTGTGGGGCACCTCAAGCTGCTGCCCCACGATCGTGTGGCCATGCCCTACCAGTGGGAGTACCCCTACCTGCTCAGCATCCTGCCCTCACTGCTGGGCCTGCTCTCCTTCCCCCGCAACAACATCAGCTACCTGGTGCTGTCCATGATCAGTGCCGGGCTCTTCTCTGTGGCGCCGCTCATCTACGGGGCCATGGAGATGTTCCCTATGGCTCAGCAGCTCTATCGGCACGGCAAGGCTTACCGCTTCATCTTCGGCTTCTCTGCCGTCTCCGTCATGTACCTGGTGGTGGTGGTGGCCGCTCAGGTGCACGGCTGGCAGCTCTACTACAGCAAGAAGCTGCTGGACTCGTGGTTCACCAGCACGCAGGAGAAGAAGAAGAAATGAGGGGGGTTGGGTAGAGGCTCTGTGTGCCACGCGTGGAGCGTTTGGGGGCTGCTGGTGGTGCTGCAGGGCGGCTGCTGCGGGTGCGGAGGTCTTCGGGGCTGAGCCCGGTGCTGGGACTGCGATCGCGTGTCACCGTACGGAAATAAAGCCCCTCCCGTGCTTTCCCACTCGTGTCTGCGCCGCCGCAATCAGGTCGCGGGCGGGGCCGCACGTGTTGCCGGAGGAATGCGGCGGGGCCGGCCCGGGGCGGGGAGCCGACACCGGAGGTGGGAACGGAGCTCGGCTACGGCACTCGGCCATGGGCTGCCCGGTGCGCTCCGTCGCTCTCCTCGCCGCCGCCGCGTTGTTGCTGCTGCCGCCGCCCGCCCGTCCTGCCGTGCCCCGCCCGCGGGTTTCCGCCAACTTCGTGAGCGCCGGGGCAATGGGAACGGGGAAAAGGGAACAGGGAGTGGGGGTGGCGGACGGGGCCGCGCTCATCCCCGTCTCTTTGCTTGCAGGACTGCCGGGCCAACGGTGAGTGGGGCCGCGGGGCTGTGCTCCCGGTGTGCGGGGCGGCGGCGGCGGGGCGGGCCAGGGTGGGGGCTCTCCGGTGGGGCCGAGATCGGAGCCGGACTTGGAGCGGAGCGATGCGGGGCGGTTCCCGGTGCGCGGGGTTCCCCCTTGTAAGGGATCTCTGTGTGTGGGGATCTCCCTCGCCGGGCCATTCCGGTGCGCGGGGATCCCTTTCGCGAGGACTCTCCCGGTGCGAGGCATGGCCCCGTGCACGGCTCCTCTCCTCTCCCGGCAGCCGACAGCACACTGACCCGGCCCCGTTGCCGCCGGGGAGACCCCACCGGGCCCCCGCTGACCCCGCCCGCCCTGGCGCTGAGCACGGCGCGGCTGTGCCAGCCCTCGCTGCCCTGCCAGCCCTGCCTGCGGGTGCGTCTGGCCGTTCCGGCCGCAGGTACGGGCTGTTCTCAGGGATGGGCCCCCCTTGTCCTCTGGGGGAACCCTGGCAGGGGACACCCCGGCCGCGGGATCGTCCCACCCGTGTCAGCAGCAACCGTTGGCATCCTGCAGGAATCCACGGGCTGCAGCTTGACTTCCTGGAGCTGGGCTCTAACCGGGTTGGGTGGCTGCAGGTGTGGCAGCGGCACCAGGCACCAGGCGATGTGCCGGTGAGTGCGGGGCACGCCGCAGGGATGGGGATGGGCGGTGGGGCCGCGCTCACCCCCTGCTCCCTATAGTGGCAGGTTCAGTTCGACTGCTTCCCGGCGGAAAGTGGGCGGCGGGTCCTGGTGACCCTGCATACCATCCCTGACAGAGGCCTGGCCATCAGCCGCAGCCACGTGGTTGCCATCGAGCTGCAGGGTAAGGCTGGAAGGGAATGGGGTGCTTGTAAGGGTTGGCACTGACTGACCCTCCCTGTGCTCCCAGGGCCCGTCTTCACCCACACCTGGCTCCCTGAAGTGCGGGCCATCGAGGTGGCTGTGCCCGAGGGCCCTGCGCTGGTGGTGCGGCTGTGCCATCAGCTGGCCTTGGAGTGTGAGGAACTGCCACAGCCCTTCCACCGCCAGGTAGCAGCCAGCAGGATGCGGTCCCCGGGGGTCCCTGCACTCCCAGCATCCTCACATTCCCTCTGTGCCTGCAGCTCCTGGTGCCGGGCGGCCACCACGTCTCACTGCCGTATGAATTCCTGGTGCCCTGCCTTTGTGTTGAGGTGTGATCCCCATTGCACCCCTGTGTGTGCTGATCCGCACAGCGATGGGACGCGGGTGGCAGACACATGGTGCTGTGCTCTGCCCCCCAGGCCTCCTATCCACACCGTGACAGCCTGCGCAGCAAGCGCTGCCCCTTCCGTGAGCGGCCGGACGCCTGTGAGTGCCTGAAGGGACCCTGGGGAGGGCACACTGTCTCCTGGCCACCCTACTGATCTTATCCCCACAGATGGCCCTGACCTATGGTCCTCAGTGCGCTTCCATGACTACAGCAGCAAGGACCAGATGGCCATGGTGCTGAGTGCCAGCTGTCCCCTGCATCCCCGGGCCACCCTGTGCTGGAGGGAGGCGGCAGCTGAAGCTGCACCGTGCCACAGTGTCCCCAACTCCACGGCAAGTGAGGAGGATCAGGTGAGGGGACATGGCTGCAGGGCACCCACTGGACCCCAGGATGTCCCTGGGGACAGATGGTGACACTCTCACTGTCCCTTGCCAGGCGTACACACTGGACAGTGTGGATGTGCACCCCCTGCTCTGCTTCAGGGTAAGCCCCCGGGGCGGTACCGGCTGGGAAGGTGCCAGACAGGGTGCACAGGTGACCCCATGTCCCCTCCTCAGTTCTCCTATGGGAACAGCAGCCATGTGGAGTGCCCCCACCGCACAGGTGAGCCCATGGGTTTGGGATGTCGTCTCTTCCCCCTCAGGCACCCCATCATGCTACGGTGTGTGTTCTCTCTTTACCAGACACTGCTTGGAACGTGTCCCTGAGTGCCAGGGGACTGCAGCTCCGCCTGTGCCTCACCTCCCATGTCCCCGCGTCCTTCAGCGCAGCGCTGTGCCAGCGCCGGGGCGGGCGCTGTGAGCCTGAGGCTCCCGTCTACACCGTCACGCGGGTGAGTGATGTAGGACAGGGGAGCTCAGGGGGGCAAGCTTTGCCACGCTGACCCTGCCTCGTGTTTTGCAGCCAGAGAGCTCTGCTCCAGGGGAGCTGGCGCTGCTGCTGCCGGTGCAGATCCTGGGCAGCTGTGTGTTGGTAAGGTGACCCCCAGCCCTGCTGTGCTGCCCGCATCAGGGTGGGGGGCCAAACCCCAAATCCTGCCCCCCTCATCCATCTCCCCACCCAGGTCTGGCGCTCAGATGTGCGCTTCGCCCGCAAGCAGCTGCTCTGTCCTGATGGTGAGCGGAGCCCCAGGGCTGGTGGGGATCGGGCAGTGTGTCATGGCTGCCCGCTCACTGCACCTCTCCCAGTCTCACACAGGCACTTTGGGCTGCTCGGGCTGGCGCTGGCCCTGGGGCTGGTGGTGACCGTGCTGCTCCTGAACTGCCGCAGCACCTGGAGGATGCCTAACGGTGAGAGCCAGCGGTTTGGGCAAGAGCCGGGGCACCCCAAGGGCTGGGACACTCCAGGCATGGGGAAGGTCCCGGGGCGGTGGGACGCTGCAGTTCCACTGAGGTTGCTCAGAGCAGGGCTGTCACTGCTGTCCCCTCTGTCCTGCAGGTGAGGCAGCACGTGGCCGCCCGGTGCTGCTGCTGTACTCTCCTGATTCGGAGGAGCACCTGGCACTGGTGTGCGCCCTGGCCGAGCTGCTGCGCGTGGGGCTGGGCTGCGAGGTGCGCCTGGACCTGTGGGAAGCGGGTGGTGTGGGGCAGGCGGGGGCCCTGCCCTGGCTCTATGCTCAGCGCAGCCACGTGGGCCGCGAGCGGGGCACCGTCCTGCTGCTCTGGAGCCGGGGCAGCTCTCGGCTCTTCCGTTTATGGCGAGGGGGTGAAGGCGGTGGGGAGCCCCGCGACGCACACGATGTCTTCGGGGCGGCCATGGCGTGCTTGCAGGGCGAGCTGGGGGCGGCGGGGCGAGGCCGGGGCTGGGTGCTGGTGTACTTCAGCCGGCTCTGCAGCCCCCGCGACGTGCCGCGGCCCCTGCGGCCCCTGCCCACCTACCGCCTGCCCCAGGAGCTGCCCGGCCTGCTGGGCGCGCTGCGGGGCGGCTCCCCGCCCTCCTGCCGGCACCTCCGCGGCCGGGCCGAGGGGCTGCTGCTCCGGCTGCTGGA